TGCTGGGTGCTGCACTTGGGTCACAACAACCCCATGCAATCCTACAGGCTTGGGGAAGAGTGACTGGAAAGCTGCCTGGCAGAAAAGGACCTGGGGGTGTTGGTTGACAGCTGACTGAACATGAGCCAGCAGTGTGCCCAGGTGGCCAAGAAGGCCAATGGCATCCAGGCTTGTATCAGAAATAGTGTGGCCAGCAGGACCAGGGCAGTGGCTCGGCACTGGTGAGGTCACACCTCGAGTACTGTGTTCAGTTTTGGGGCCCTCATTACAAGAAAGACCTTGAGGTGCTGGAGCATGTCCAGAGAAGGGCAACGAAGCTGGTGAAGGGTCTGGAGCAAGAGGGTGATGGAGAGCGGCTGAGAGAGCTGGGGTTGTTTAGCCTGGAGGAGGTTTGGGGAGACCTTATCGCTCTCTACAGCTACCTGAAAGGAGGTTGTAGTGAGGTGGGGGTCAGTCTCTTCAGCTAAGAAATCAGTGATAGGATGAGAAGAAAAGGCCTCAAATTGCACCAGGGGAGGTTTAGATTGGATATTAAGAAAAATTTCTTCACTGAAAGGACTGTTAAGCATTAGAACAGGCTTCCCAGGGAAGTGGTAGAGTTATCATACATGGAGGCATTTAAAAGAAGTGTAGATGTTGTGCTTAGGGACATGGTTTAGTGGTGGACTTGTCAGTGTTAGGTTTATGGTTGGACTTGATCCTAAAGACCTTTTCCAACCTAAATAATTCTATGAGTCTATGAAAACCATTTTAAAAAAAAATGGAAATTTCAATTTATACAATCAAGTAGTTCTTGTTAATGCTGTTGCAGGTTTACCGAAATTATTTATGAAGCCTGGATGTACATGTTTGCATGCATTTTCCATAATCAAGGCAAGACAATTCTTTTTATCAGAGCTTGCATTTTAAGACATGATGCACCACCTTACTAAAAGTTCTGCAAAATATTTGTTTCTGTCTTTAATCTTTGAATTTTAATCTTATGCTACAAGTGTACTTTAAAATATATATATGTATAATCTATATATATTTTTAAAAAAATTGCTCAGGAATGAAGCTAGAGTCTTTCTATGGCTTTCCATTGCCTCATACAATTGAAGGCTTCAATTCTCTCTCAGTCAGAAATCACGTGAAGTAGAGAGAAGACAATGGGTTGGCACTAGGATACATAGATTAATCAATTACAGTAATGTTATAAAAACAGAATAGTAGAATCACAAAGTAGTTGAGTTTGGACAGGACCACGAGAGATTGTCTAGTCCAATCCCCCCTCCTCAAAGCAGGGTCCACTAGAGCAGGTTTCTTGGGACCATGTCTAGCCAGGGTTTGAATATCTATGGATGGAGGCTTCACAACCTCTCTGTGCAACCTGTTCCAGTGTTTGACCATTGTCACAGTAGAAAAGTTTTTTCTTATGTTTAAATGGAGTTTCCTGTAATTGTTTGACCACTGCCTCTTGATTGAGCACCAGTGACAAGAATCTGGCTCCATCTTCTTTACACCCTCTCATCAGGCGTTTTGAGCAGAGAAGAAGGGTCACCTCTCTTGACCTGCTGGTGACTCTCTTTTGATGCAGTCCAGGATGCGTTGGCCTTCCTAGGTACAAAGGCTCATTGCTAGTTCATGTTCAGCTTGTTCTTCACCAGTATCCACAGGTCCTTTTCTGCAAAGCTGCTTTCCAGACTGTGAACTCTGAGATCCTGATAATCCATTTCTCCAGACTCTTGAGGTCCCTCTGAATCGCAGAGCAGCCATCTGATGTATCAACCACTCCTGCAGTTTTGGACTGTCTGCCATCTTGCTGAGGTTGCACTCAGTCCTGTTATCTATGTCACTAATGGAGGTGTTGAGCAATATTGGCCACTGGGGTACTCCACTAGCTCCTGGCCTCCAGCTGATTTGTGCCACTCATCAAAACTCGTTGAACCTGGCAATTCAGTCAGTTTTCAGTCCACCTCACTGTCCACTTATCTAGTTTGTACTTCATCAGCTTGTCTATGAGGCTTTTATGAGAGATTGTTTTGAAAGCCTTGCTAAAGTCAAGGTAAACAACATCTGCTGCTCTCCCTTCATCCAACGAGCTAGTCACTTCATCACAGAAGGCTATCATTGGTTAAGCACGATTTCGCCTTTGTAAATCCATGCTGACTACCCCAGATCATCTTGACTTTAATATGTTTGCAAATGTTTTCCAGGATTATTTGCTCCATCACCTTCCCAGGAATTGAGGAGAGGCTGGTTGACCTGTAGTTTTCTGCATCCTCCTTCTTGCCTTCCTGGAAGAAAGGAGTGACACTTGCATTCTTCCAGCACTCAGGAACCTCCCCTGATTATCACAGCCTTTCAAACATAATTGAAACTGGGACCGTGGCTTCATCCATCCTTCTATCCATTGGAACCTCTGGAAATGAATTTTAGATTATAGTGGTGTTTTTAAAAATATATATATATATTTTTTTAACCAATGCTAGGGTCTTCTTGTTAATAATCCACTAAAATAGCTTAACTTTTCCCCCCCCCTCACTCAGAAACAATGAAGAGAAGTATTAATAGTTAACTTTCACAACCAGCTTTTGCATCACAC